TTCAGACCAAACTTTTTGATTCAGCGCTCTTAAAAAATTTTTGAAAAAAAAACAGCAGATAAAATTTACAACTTTGTACATTGTATTGAAAAATTATTATTAAGGCGTCTATGAAGCACCGTCGAAGAAAAACAATTTAAGCGAGGAAAGAAAACTTATTAAAATAAAAGCAGAGCTGCAATTAAGACATCCCTTACATTCGATACAAAACTAAAATAAATTTTAGATATCAGTTCTTAAAAAATCATTTACACAAAGTTTTCACTGATATAGTTAATGTCTACACAAAAATTAAAAACATACTACGCAAATGTCACTATCCATTTAACACCTAGCCCATGCCGCAAAATCTATGCAAAAAAAATACCGTAACTTGACTCCTTACATCTATATCCGAAGCAGAGGTCTGCAACAATTAAACAAAGACCAGAACATGTCAGAGCGCGAGCGAAAAACTAACAATGGTGGGCACATCTTCTCTTGAGAGGCCTATTGACTGTGGAACAGAGCGTTGCTACTTAAAGTACAGGTGTATAATGTGTCTTGATGTACGCGCAAAAGGCGCGTGCTAAAAACTTCCTACTGGGGCGCCGAAGTGTGTCAATTGTAAGAGTGAGCATCATGCCAATTGTTCTAAATGCACTACACTCCTTAACTACAAGGAGAAAATTGAAAGTGACGCTTTTAGAAGAAGACTAATGTACAGGCCAGCAACAATATCAGTGCCGCTGACAAAGAGCTTATCTTCAGCTTTAAGTCCGTTATCCTCAATTTTTCGTTCAACAGTCATCAATCCGAACTTCAATTCAGTCTACACCATCACCGGTTAAATCTGCACCATCACCGTCACTATTTTGAAGATTCAAACAACATTCCCATAAACTACACGCGCAACATACACATGATGCACTTCAACTCGAACGGACTCAAAAACAACGTCGACGAACTGAAACAGGCAATAAATTATGACCTGGTCATTGTACTGATTAACGAGACACATTTGAAACCCACGAAGAGTGTATACTTTCACCACTACAAAATTTACAGAAACGGAAGACAGACAGACGCAACGAGGATAGGGCACTGAAATTTTGATAAAGTCTTCCATCATACATGAGTATTGCTAAACTTGACAGCGGGTCAGAAAGCAACCATCGTGTTAATTCACATCCCGGCAAGAGCACTACTACAGATAGTCTTACAAAACCTACTCGACTCAGATACATACGTTTTAACGAGTATAGCAAACAATTTTAACGCACAATACACATTTTAGAACTGTAACGCCAACAACGCAAACGGAACCAGACTTTACGAATATTTGAACACATAACCACAGATGCACTGTCCTGACGCGCTCATCAGTTATCCCGCTGGAGCGACACACCATCATAGCACAATAGACCTGTCGCTTACGAAAAATTCAAGCGTGTCTTCGGAACCCACAAATAAAATGCCAATATATCAAACGCAGGCCGAATAAATCGATAATAAACGAATCTATTTAAAATTTTACAAAAATTTAACGGCAAAAATTTACTTATAGACTACTACTGACCCGAACTTTCCGACTTCGTGGAAAACTTTTACCATATTTCGCATATTGAAGCCGAAGAAACAGCCAGACGCACCGCAAAATTACAGAAAAAGTACTGCTCAAACGCGATCAAAAGAACTGTACACTACACTCACTGACGCAACTAATAGCAAACACGGTACTCAACTTCAACAGACAAAACCATACTGGATTGGTGTTGCTTGACTTAGAAAAGGCGTTTGACACAATCTGGATAGACGGACTAATACATAAACTGAAAACCCTCAATTATCACCCAACATCACAAAACTACTTCATTAATACCTTGTAGGCCGCTATTTCACCGTACAAATAGACGAAACACACTCGACGGTTGAACAAGTGACGGCGGGAGTACCACAAGGTTCAACCCCGGAACCGTCACAGTTTAGTGTCTACATCCATAACATTCAACAGTGACCATCACCTAGACTATTGACCATAAAAATACAGAGACTCCATAGATAAACAAGTATAATATGAAAGACACATATATACATTGACAAACTATACGAACTTGTGACAAATCAAAATAAACCCACTAGACTGAGTCATATTTTGTTTACAAAGATCCATAAGTCCACTACACTGACTGACTTGGACAAAATGAAAATAATGAGCTACGAAGTTGAATGATCCGAGGATGTCAAATTGGAGAGATCTTGCACCATAGACTCACCTACAGCAAACATACCGACATCAAAATTTTGCTAATGTTTGGGATGGTAAATTTGCTGAGACCTCTCTCGAACCAGAATAGCCGGCTGAGGGTGACACTTAACTTGACATACTAATGCGACCAATACTGTTGTACGACGCTCCAGCATAAAAAGTAACAACAAAGACTAACCAACAAACCCTACAGACTATACAAAACAAAGCTTTACGACTAGTACTTAACAAATCCACTGACGAGACACTATGACGGCAAAATACATACATAAACAGTACATACATTTGACCGACAGTACTCGATCAAATAAAGAATCTCACTGGAATCTTTTACCTAAATGTGGGGATGACACCAATAGCAACATACAAACCCTTGGCCAATATACGCCAGAAATAGTTTAGTATGGCGATTTCCGAGCAAATTAATCTTTTGTTTTATGTATTATGTTTTATGTAATTATTTATTTTTCTGAATATTATTGTGTGATTTTTCTGAGAAAGTTTTGAACCTTTCCTTCTTTTTGTCAAATTTATATGATATACTATATTTTAAATCCTTATTATCTTCTATATATATAAAAATAAGTCGGGTTTTCCTTCCTGACGAAATAACTCCAGAACGCACGAACCGATTTCGACAATTTTGCATTCGTTGGAAAGGTCTCGGGCTCCGCAAGGTTTATAGCTAAGAAAATTAGTTGTGCATGGCATCGTGCCTTAATGCAAGCAGTTGGAACTTCACGCACCGTAATTAAAAATTCGAGCAATAAAAATAATCAATAACTGTTTTAAATAATTTCAAATAGATTATCTTCTATATATATATATATAAAAATAAGTCGGGTTTTCCTTCCTGACGAAATAACTCCAGAACGCACGAACCGATTTCGACAATTTTGCATTCGTTGGAAAGGTCTCGGGCTCCGCAAGGTTTATAGCTAAGAAAATTAGTTGTGCATGGCATCGTGCCTTAATGCAAGCAGTTGGAACTTCACGCACCGTAATTAAAAATTCGAGCAATAAAAATAATCAATAACTGTTTTAAATAATTTCAAATAGATTATCTTCTATATATATATATATATATATATAAAAATAAGTCGGGTTTTCCTTCCTGGCGAAATAACTCCAGAACGCACGAACCGATTTCGACAATTTTGCATTCGTTGGAAAGGTCTCGGGCTCTGCAAGGCTTATAGCTAAGAAAATTAGTTGTCCATGGTATGGTGCCTTAATGCAAGCTGCTGGAACTTCACGAACCGTAATTGAAAATTCGAGTAATAAGAATAATCAATAACTGTTTTAAATAATTTCGAATAGATTATCTTCTATAAATATAAAAATAAGTCGGGTTTTCCTTCCTGAAGAAATAACTCCAGAACGCACGAACCGATTTCGACAATTTTGCATTCGTTGGAAAGGTCTCTGGTTCCGCAAAGTTTATAGCTAAGAAAATAAGTTGTGCATGGCATCGTGCCTTAATGCAAGCTGCTGAAACTTCACGCACCGTAATTAAAAATTCGAGTAATGACATTAGTGAGAATTATCAGAATTATGCTTGGTTAAGTCAACGAGCAATTCTTGCCGCAAAGAATAATGATGTACACGCCCTGAATTTCATCATTTAAAGAAAATTGCTAGCGATTTGGTGACATACCAATGATTCTGACTGGTCTTCCGGTTTGACTTCAAACGATTGCAATATCCAGTTCGCCTTGCGTTCGCAATAACAAGTCGCAAGGCCAATCGCTTAGTGTTTGCGGGATGAATTTCAATTAGATTATTTAGAAAATCATTGTTTTTCACATGGGCAGTTATACGTTGCCTGTTCACGAGTTGGAAAACCATCCGCTTTGTTTGTGTTAACGTCAGACCAAAAAACAAAAAATGTGGTTTACCAAAGAGCACTTCAATGAAACGGAAAATTTGCGGATTCACTTTCATTTACTTACAATTAGAGAAGTTCAACTAAACTACTCTTCATTTTTGTAATCGAAATAAATTCATTACTGTTGTATAATAAAATCAATTTTTTTCTTTTCAAATATAAAACAAACAAAAAATTTCTTCATCTTTCTCACGAAACCATCTGGTGGCGAAACGGAGTTCGCTGGGTTTGCTAGTTATTTATAAAACAGATATGTTGGACTTAATACCTACGGGTAGAATGTCTGAATAAAAAGTTGACAAAATTTTGTATATATATATATATATTATAATATTGTATGCCTGTTGTTTGAATGTAACGGGCAACGCTTTGAAACCTAAAGTGTGTGTGCTCTATGGATGTGTAATATGCTTGGTGTCTGATCCTTACGATGCGGAAATGAGTTCAGTTGTTGATTCGGCGTTCGGTGTTTGGGTGTTTGGTGAGGGAATTAATAAATATATGTTGTAAAAAAGAAATACTGTGTTTTACTTAATCAATTAATACAGAAAAACTTAGTTTGAAATATTTAGAATTGAATTTGATAAGCATTTTTCAGGTTCCGATTTCTACAAACAATCAGGATTGCGTTTTCTATAAAGACTTTTACGCTTTTATATTTATTGAATAATTTTCTGTTTGATGGAAGATATGCTATGTATGCCCTTCATCATCTATACGATGACAAAGCCTACATGAGAGCAATAAAATTCACTTTCAATAACCCTCTATAAAAGAATTCAAAATTGGTCGTTTCTCATTTTCCTATGACATCATTTTAACAATATTTTTTTTATTTTAGTCTTAACAATATATTTTACTTACGTGAATTTGGTGTATTATCAAATGGATAACTGGCTACAAGAGCGCCTCCATGCAATGATCCTGATAAAACAAATTGTATTTTCTGTATCCATTCTTTGACGGCATCTGTTTCAGGTTGACCTCGTTTATTATTTTGTTTGAAATAGTCAGGAAAATTCCGATTCAAATCAAAACCGCGTGCATTATACCTGTTCAATTAAAGTATATTTAATTCTTTTTCATATTGTTAAGTTAAGTTACAGTAATAGCAAATAATTCGAAAATAAAAAATTATGCTTATCTTTACATTTCAAATGTTTCTGGACATTTCAACCTACGACACACCTTAGAAAAAAATTATATACAATTTATTACTGTCATTTTCGAGAGCACGGATCAACCGATTTACGATCTACGATCAAGAAGGTCTACCCATACGTTTTGAGTTCCAATTTGACTCTTCTTCAGTGGAAGCAAAACACACAATAATTAATACACTAAACACAAACAAAAACATGCCACAAAAATTATTACTTTGCAACATAGCATATTAGTGAAAAAATAAATAAATATGAATTATACTTCGAAGTAGAAAAAATACTTAAAATAATAATTTCAAACATCAGATCTCAAAAAACGAATCACGAATGTTTTTGTTTCTGTTTAGTATATTAATTATTTGTATTCTGTTTGCTCTGAAAAAGAGTCAAATTCCGTCTCTTAACGTATGGATCTATTAAATTTATTTTAAACGACATATCTTAGTTTTCTGTCTATTTTTTATCTAAATGGATCTTTGTTAAAACAGTTTTGTTTTATCAATCATTTTTGTTTTATATATATATATATATATATATATATATATATATACAGGGCCGGTCCTGCCTTGCATGCGATGCATGCAAAAAATGCGGGCGCACGCCTTAGGGGGCGCTAAAACGAGTTTTGGAAATTAAATTTATAATATATTATTTATATTTTTATTATTTATATAAAATCTAGAATACTTTATGAATTATAGTATACAATCAAACTTAAGAAGGGACACACGGAGATACAAAAAGCATATTTATTTTACAATGCGATATCAGTAGAAACAATTAACCGATTAATTACTCTACAAATTAGTAAATAACAGCTCTGTTTATTGCTTAATCTACTTATTCAATTTTTTCTTTGTTTTAAGTTACTGTGGAATCGAAAAAGAAATTATCCCATAAGCGCAAACCTGCGAAAGATTAAATTAATTATTGGGCATTATTGACAAAAAATTGCGAGCTGATTTAGTTGAAACAGAACTTGTTAAAAATATAAACAAATCGGGAAAATAAAAAATGGGGAGTCAGTGCTTAGAAAATAGCATGTTTATTCCGAGAAATTGAATTGTACCTTTTGTTTTTGTTGCAAATGTTTCGCATCTGTTGAACTTTGAATGTTAAAGACATGCGTGGTTATGGAAATGAAACAAATATGAAAAATGAAAGCAAAATTTACTTTGGAAAGAAAATCTTAAAGTTTTTTTATACCTGGTAGTGTCCATACTCTAAATTTAATATTCATTAATTTTTTTTTTTTCAATAGAGTTCAAGAAATATGTAATTTCTTTGCATTTTTTACTAATTTTTGGACAATACTTCTAAAATACGTTACAAAATGATCACAATCACAATTGAAACAGTCTGATACTCTGAATATAGCGGGAAGCCAAATTTTAGATATTGTAAATAATGAAAAAAAATTAAATCAAAATTTAAAAAATCCAACATGAAATACGATTGTTATGATTGAAATATATAGAGATATGTTATGATTGAAAATAAAAAGCTAGTTTTTTTAGTTTTCTTGGCATGATTTGCTCAATAGAATAAATCGCATAATAAATAAGTAAAACGTTTTCAAACCTAAACATTAATATTGCACATACGTTAACAATAATTGAAGTTTTAAGAATATTTGATTATAATCAAACCGTGAATCGCCTTGATTTTCTAAATAAATTTAAAAGCAATGTATTTTATAAGCTTTTAGATTATATCTCATTTTTTATGTACAAAATCCAATCCAATTAAAAACTAATTTAAAAAAAAAAATGTAAATATTCATATAATTTTAATGAGAAACTGTTAAAACAGTTAAAATTAATGAGGGCGAGAAAAAAAGTTGCATGCGGGCGCTAAGGACCCCAGGACCGGCCCTGTATATATATATATATATATATATATATATATATAACAAATGTATTCTGAGTCGATAGGTAGATATTAATTTAGAAATATGAACAACATTCTTTTTTTGCACTAATTTATTAAATAATAATTTCACAAACGTTTTGAGACTAGGTTTGTCTCATCATCAGTATGTTATAAATTTAAAATATAAAATATGGAAACCTATATAAGCATTATGTGTTATCCGTTACACGTCGTTCACTGTTCTGAACTGAATTCTCTATCAGGGTCAAAAAGATGAGTCATGGAATATCAAGTGGGGAAGAGAAGGAATAAGGCCCAGTTGAAAAATAGATGTCGCTACTTTTTTGTTGTTTCAAAATTGCTTTAAAAATGTTGTCTATATTTTTTATAATTTCATACCATATTTTAATTGGCTTTTAGTAATTTTAATATCTAAATTACATTTTTCTCACGAAGAATTCAATATACATTATTACTTCAAAAGTCAAATCCTGTTCACATGTGCTCTATTCAACCCACAATAAACACAATTATTGCAGTAAATAGAGAGGAAAAAAGCGTGTGCTCTACGAATTTTTTTACTATGGTCCAATTTGCTCGATATTTGGAAATAAGCTAATCTTAATCTTAAGTTCAGGAGTGAAAACAATTTGCACTCCTTCACCCCCCCGGCATTAATTGGATTATAACTCTTAAATCTGATTTTATCAGAACTTGTAATATACTATTTTAATGGTAACTTTCTCTATCATAAATTTTACCGTGACTTCTCTTATTTTGAAACGGCGAAAGGTTAAAATGCTTGAAAAACACTTTGGTTTACTGCCTCGCACTATTTAAACAATTATAACTCTATCAATATTTGTGTAACAAAAAAATAATAAAAAGCAATAATTAGTCAGAAAAAACCCTTGAATTTCAGAGATATAATAATGAGAAATTGGTTGTTTTTTAATGGATTTTTTTTAATGAAATCACGAGTTTTTTGAAAATCGTTTGTACTAAAGTTATGTTATTTTCTAGAATCCATCAAGATCTCTTAAACCAAAATAATTCTAGATGGAATACGATTATTTTAATTTTGGTGGAAATGGCACTCATAAACTATTTGATTCAAATAAAAAAAAACATTGTATGCGTCTTTTATTTGCATGATAGCTGACTCATTTTACATGCAGAATACTTATTTTAAAGCTTATTTTGTGGACTATAAAACCACATTTTTTATATCTAGCTTAATATTGTTCCTAGAACACTATAAAATAGTGATTTATTAAGATATTATTTATATAATTTTGGTCATTTCATTATTTTTGTTAAAATGTACATATCTGAAGATATTAGCAAACAACGCTTTTATTTTTTAACATTTAGTTAAAAAATAATAATCTGTCAAATTGAATTTTAATATAGGGTATGTAATTACATTGAACTGACATTTTACAAACGTAGGACGCATGCGCAGAACTGCATCACTTGTCAGACGCATGTTGACTCTATTTTATTATATTATTTTAATTTTTGGCACATCTCAGCTGCTTTTCGGCAATACTAATGTAGACATTACATTTTCCTCATTTATAATCATGAATGTATTATATTTTAATATTGCCTCAGCCTATAAGTAAATAAAATTGTTTGGCAAATGACAGTCTTCATTTGTTTAATGTCAAAATAAGCTTCAAATATTTTCAAGGTCAAACAATGATAAGCGTTTTTTTGTAATTTTTTCCATTTATTTCTACAATCTAACTATATTTCTATGAATCTAAAATTTCTAGAAAATTTCCCGAAAAAACTTCAGGAAGATTCATGAAAATCCTAATTATAGTTTAGGAGGATTAATCATTCATACATAGTTACAGAAGAATTTTATATATATATAAGATATATATATATATATATATATATATATATATACTTATATTTTATTGGCCTCGCTTACTCGAGCATTTAGCCACCAATTGGCATTGAATACTTATAATATTAATCAACAATTAGAGAAAGTTTCCGAAGTTAAAAATATTAAAAACAACAATTATAAAAAGTTAACAAAACACGAAACATTTTATGAAATTATTTTATAACCAATTTTAAATGCGATTTTACAAGTACATTTATAGACAAAATTCCTTTTAAAAGTAATAAATTATATTCAGGAGATTTGAAAACAAAGATTTATGTCATTTAAACATAAATTCCAAGAGATTAGTTTATTAAAAATTAATTGTGTAAATTTTATTAAAGCATATAGTAAGTTAGAACATACGTCTGAAATTAGTAATTTTAATATTAAGTCAAATAGTCAATATTTTATGCCACATCACGCAATAAAAAATAAATATAGTTTAAAAACAAAAACGAGAGATGTCTTTCAAAGTTTGGGGTAGTCTTCAAGCAGCTTGTTAGTAAATAATGTTCAATATATGCGAACGTCAATTCGAAATGACTTATTTCCAATGATTTTAAGATTTAGAATGCAGATATATGCTGTATTAGGAGATACTTCAAAGATGTATCGGCAAATATTAATTAATAAAGACGATAGACGAAATCCAACAGATAATTCAAAAACTTGTGAATTAAATACGGTGACATATGGTAGAGCATCTGCATCATTTTTAGCTGTACGTTATCTTAAACAATTGGCAAATAAAAATATAATTTTATTCTTCTGCTTACAATATAATTGACAAATATTTTTATTTAAACGACCTTGTGACAGGGGCGAACACTATTCATGAATTAATGAAAATAAAAAACAAAGTATATTACATTTTATAAATCAGTTTTGAATTACAAAAATGGATATCAAAAAGAGATATTAAAAAATATGAAAAACGCGATTATAACTATAATTACGAAAAAAACCTAATACGCTAGAACTAATGCAATCAAAAGTAAGTAAAAGTCTTGGAATAATGTGGCATTACAAATTAGATACAATTAACATTTTATTAAAATTAGCAATGTTCCAGCAGAACAAACAGTTTTATCATAAGTTAGTCAAATTTTTT